AACCATTATCCAATCTTGCAGTAACGCTTTTACCCTGTTTTTCAATTAAACATTTATCTCCCTGAAAGTTTACAACAAATCCTGCTTTTACCATTGCTCTTACAGATAGCAAGTTAAATATCATCCTAGGTACATATAACATCAGTAAATGTTCATTAATACATGAACAATATGCAGTACCTTCTCCAGATGCTCTCAATTTCCATCCATTAGCTAATGATACATGCTGTTTACTCTTTGTCATGTTAACAAACCTCTCTTTACTTTTAGTTATACACTGCAATGCTCCACTGTCAACTACCCATATATCATGGTTTACAGTTGTAGTTGTACTTGATATGGCTAAACTAACATCTTTATAAGCTCTCTGTATATTAATAGCATTCTGTTTCTTACCCTTTTTACAGTATCTGGCTATATGACCTTTAGCCCCACAAGAAAAACATTTCCTAACAATATAGGCAGTCGAAGACAGTTTTTCTTCCTGTGGTTGTCTTTCTCTCAGTTGAATTCTATCTTGCCTTCTTCTTGACTCTTCTAACAGTCTTCCAGTTATGCCAGTCAATGTAAGTTCATCTCTGTTTAAAACTTCCAGTGAAGACACATAATCATCATAAGTTTCATCCAAAGAAGAAAGAATGATGTAAACTTGATGCAATTCCAAGAAAATCAGCTCCTGTTCTTGTAGCTCTTGTAAAGCCCTTTTCATAAACTCCAAGTGAGATAATATATCGCCACCTTTTATAAGATGGGCTCTAAACAGTTTACGTGTAAGGTGTATGTGTGCACCCACACTATCTCGTACATAAATCCTCTTCAAAATGTCCCAACACCTAGCAGCAGATTCTTCACCACGAATATGGACTAACTCCTGATCACTCAGTGTCAGTCCAATTATACTAAGAGCCTTTTCATTATCCCGGTTAAAGTCAGCTATTTTCTTTTTATCTTCATCATTCAATGGGTCCCAAGCTGTTACATCTGGTGGACTATTAACTACAGTCCATGATCCGTCTTTACGCAGAAGTAGGCTGCACTTCATAGACCAGGTAACATAGTTTGTTCCATCCAACCGGGTTATCTGGGATATACTGGTTGACTGTTCTTGTGCCATTTGTAGTTTAACAATAAACCACAATCAGCTGGCTGAATATGAAACTGTATATTCACACTGATTCTCAATATCTCTCTGGGCCCATAACCAATGTTATGATACGTACAGAATAACCCTTGAGTAGCAAGGATATGCACATGGAAACGTTTATGAGAGTAGTTATGAATAATTATTCAACCACACATAGTTAAACTAAATTGAGTTAAAGTTTACTTTAAGAAATAGCACAGTCCAATAAACGGTCCAGGTCATATACGTTTAACAGTCCAAAGAATATCCAATTACAAAATCTTCTTACCAGTTGCCTTTGTCATTTACAGTAAACAAAGATATCAAAGTATAAGCACAGCAGAGAACCTTAGATAGCAACAGAATGTCAGAGATAGAGCATGTCAGAGAGACAGCATGTCAGAGAGAACAAGACATGATCTCTAGCTCCCTCTTATGGCAACCTGCAATACAATCAACCAATCGGAACATAGTACAAATCAATACAGTAACTTTGTCTTAAAGCTACAAACATACATTGTTGGTTTATATATTGCCAACCTAACTAATTGGTGGACAGATTCCTAACAGCATTGCCAAGAGAAAGACGAGAGACATGAGACCGAATAATGCAGAAGAGCTGAAGGCCGCTATTGAAGCATCCTGGTCTTCCATAACACCTCAGCAGTGCCATGGCCTGATAGCTTCCATGCCATGCCGCATTGAGGCAGTAATTGCTGCAAAGGGGGCCCAAACCAAGTACTGAGTACATATGCATGCTTATACTTTTCAGAGGGCCGATATTGTTCTAGGTACAATCCTTGTTTTATTTTATTTTTTTTGAAAACAATTTTATTGTTTTTTTAACAAACAAACAAACAGACAAAACATAAAAACATCAGCTTTCATCCGTACTTATGTACAAACAGTGTGTCGGTTGGTTCATCAGTTTTGTGCATTCATTTCGTAGTCATAATTACAATTACCTTACATAATAACTCTTATTATCAATCCAAACTTATATATCCTCATATCATTATATATATAAAAAAAGATTTGACTATACTTTTATTCAATCATGCCTTATGAGATAACTATGATTAAAGTAATTTATTCTATAACAAATCATATAATCATACCAATTCTATCCTAAAAAAAGAAAAAAAAGAAAAAACATTTTATAAATATAATGTCAAATACCAGAAGAAAAAAGAAAAGTGAAATCAATAATATTCCTTATTGTCTAACATTCTAAATATTCTATTTTTGTATTTCATCATCCAGCCATTGATAGAAAGGTCCCAAATTATATAAAATTGTTTATCTTCTTGCTCTCTAATTTCAAATGTCAATCTACTCATCTCAGCACATTCCAATATTTTCTTGATAACTTCTTCCTGCAATGGAATTTTCTCATTTTTCCAATTTTTTGCAAATACAATCCTAGCCGCAGTTAATACATTTACAATCAAATATTTCAAATCTTTACTATAAACATCTGGTAAGATTCCCAATAAGAAAAGCTCCGGTTTCAAGTCTATATGCTTCTTTGTCATTTTTTCCAACCACATGCGGATTTTAGTCCAATATTTTCTAGCATCCTCACAAGTCCACCACATATGGTAGTATGAACCAGGTTTCTGATGACATTTCCAGCACTTGTCAGATTTATTCTTGAACATTCTTGCTATCCTTGTCGGGGGAAAATGCCACCTGTAAAACATCTTATACAAGTTTTCTTTATAGGCTGTAGACATTGTCATTTTATAGTTTTGCAACCATAATTTCTGCCATTTCTCTAAGTCAATCCCATATCCAAAATTCCTCCCCCCAAGCAATCATAGTTTCTTTAACTTGTTCTTCCTCTAGCTTAATTTCCAATAAGTAACCATATAATTTTTTAATCACCTTTTCATCAGTACCCATCAAAATCTTATCTAAATCAGTCTGTTTATCATAAAATCCCTCTGTTTTGGAATCCTCCTCATACCTTGAGTGTATTTGCACATATGAGAACCAATTCATCTGTATACCTTGTTCCTCTAAATTTTGTATCGATTTAAGTTCACCCTTTTCATCTAGTAATTCCCCATATCTAACTGTTTGTTCCTTTTTATAAATTATAGGATAAGAAAACGCTTCTATCGTTGATAACCAAACTGGAATTTTCAAATAACATTGTTTTTTATCTTCTCCCAGTTTAACCACAAAGACTCCCGTATATAATGTCTTCTAAAATAGCCCTGTGTTTTGGTTCCCTTATACCATAGAAAAGCATGCCAACCCAACAGCAAATCATGACCTTCTAATGTCAACAATCTAGTCTTCCTTAATGTTATCCATTCTTTAACCCACATCAAATTTGCAGCTTGATAGTACAACTCCCAATTAGGCAGGCCAAACCCTCCTCTAGTTCTAGCATCCTGCAAAAGCTTTAGCTTTATCCTTGCTTTCTTGCCTTGCCATATATACTTCAACACAATTTTGTTTAAGTCCTCAAAATAGTCTTTTCCGAGCCTAATTGGTATTGTTTGAAACAAAAATAGGATTCTGGGTAGAATATTCATCTTAATTGTTGAAATCCTCCCTATTAATGACAATTGTAAGTTTTCCCATTTCTTCAAATCTAGGGCTATCTGTTGTTTAAGTTTAATATAATTGTTCTCTTTTAATGTACTACATCTTGGCGTCAAATATATCCCCAAATACTTAACCTTGTTTGTAACTTGGATTTTCAACAATTCTGCCAATTCTTCCCTTTGTCTTAGTAACATATTCTTTGACAAAATCTTTGTTTTATCTTTATTTATTTTCAGACCGGCCACCTCACCATATATTTCCAGCAGCTTCAAGGCTGTTTTATTGATTGCATGTAATATTCTAATTTTCTGAGATTGTGGGTTTGGGGTTTTCATGAGCTGTAAGCCATAATCATCACAATTATGACAAATCACAGCTTGAACTATCTTGCTTTGCATGTAATGAGTCTATCTCATATATTAGTTTTACCTTTTAAGTTGCATTACTGAAATAAATGAATTTTTGCAGGATATTCTAATTTTTTGAGTTTCACCTGTAAAACCAAATAACTTAATATTTTTCCCATGGTGCACTCCACCCAATGGCTTGGTCATTATATCTGCCAGATTGTCTTCTGAAGAACAGTGAAGCAAGCTAATTAATTTACATTTGATAGCTTCTCTTACAATATTTAATATCCATATGCTGCTTCTATTCTTTACTCTGTCACCTGTTGCCATTTTTATACAAGCAGCATTATCCTCATACCCCATTACAGCTTCATTTACCTTTACATTTAAATCCTTTAACAGCTGTATGTACCAAGTTATCTCTGAACAAAGCTCAGATAGAGCAATAAATTCTACCTACTTTAGAAATGGCTACAGTTGTTCGTTTTCTGGACTTCCAACCAATTAAAGCACCTCTAAATAATACCACAATCCCAGAATTGGACTTTCTGGTTTTTACATCATTTACATAATCACTATCAGCATAGCTTTTCAATTTTAATTTTTCAGAGACCTTTCATACCCTGGTGCATGAACCATACAAATTTCTTCCTCTAATTCTGCATTGAGGAATTCTGTGGTTATATCAAAATGCCAAATTTTATGGTCACGTGCCACTACCAACGCTAGTGCCAACCTTATGCTTTCACTCTTTATTGTAGGCACAAATACCTCCTCATACTGCACGTTTTTCCACTGAAAAGCTTGTGCCACTAATCTTGCTTTATATTGTACTTCATTGTTGGGTAGTACTTTCTTTTTGCACACCCATTTACATCCTAGGGCTTTGCAACCTTGTGGCAGAGTCATAGATGTGAACACTTTATATTCATCCATGGATTTCATTTCTTTGTCCATGGCTTCTTTCCACTTTACTTGTTCAATTTTAGGTAATGCCAATACTTTCTTATAGTTCTTTGGCTCATACCACACATACCACACCTTTACTTCACTAGCAGAATACCTGTCAGGTGGAATCCCTTTGTTCCATCGCTCTGACCTGCATATTATATTATGAATATAATATTCATATTATATAAATCAACTATGCATATTATATTATATTATTATTAACTCCGTATTGGACTTTAATTGTAAATTCACATCATCCTTTTCAAGCAAATTTCAACTTTTATAAAACCCAGTTCATAATATCATTCATTTCATTACAGTCAATTATAACATATCATTACATTGTTTTATCTTTACTATAATATTGTATTTATATTGTATTGTATTTTATTTCCCTATTTTCTTATTTAACCATTGATAAAATAAATCCCAAATTTTATAATACCGTTTGTCTTCTTGCTCTATAATTGCTAATGTCAATTTACTCATTTCTGCACATTCCATTATTTTCTTAATCACCTCCTCTTCTATCGGAATTTTTTCACTTTTCCAGTTTTTGGCAAATACGATTCTAGCTGCTGTCAAAACATTTATAATCAAATATGTCAGTTTTTTACTGTATCCTTCAGATAAGATACCCAATAAAAATATCTCTGGTTTCAAGTCGAAATGCTGTTTTGTCATTTTTTCCAGCCATGTATGAATTTTAGTCCAGTATCTCTTGGCTTCCACACACATCCACCACATGTGATAGTATGATCCACGTATCTGATGACACTTCCAACATTTCTCCGATTTATTCTTAAACATCCTTGCTAACCTTGCCGGGGGTAGATGCCACCTGTAAAACATCTTGTACAAATTCTCTTTATATGCTGTTGACATTGTTATTTTATAGTTTTGAGACCATAATTTCTGCCATCTTTCTAAATCTATCCCATATCCAAAGTTTTCCCACAAGGCAACCATTGTTTTTTTAACTTGTTCTTCTAATTTTACTCCAAGTAAATAACCATAAAATTTTTTGATCACCTTCTCATCAGTACCTGTCAAAATTCCATCTAATTTAGTTAATTCATTATAAAATCCTTCTGTCCTACAATCTTTATCATATCTAGAATGTATTTACACATATGAATACCAATTCATCTCTATTCCTTGTTCCTCTAGTTCTTGCTTAGATTTGAGTTCACCCTCTTCATTTAATATTTCATTGTATCTTACTGCTTGTTCCATTCTATAAACAACTGGATATGCAAATGCTTCTATAGTTGACAACCAGACTAGTATTTTCTTTTTTTTCCAATTTTTTTTTATTTTTTAAATTTTATGCATCTTTCCATGTGAGCAACATGTTTCCAGGTTATAACACTTGTACATAGTCATACTTTCATTTCCATTAATTTTATATAATATTAACTCATATCATTATCCATTTCACTCATCTTTAAATAAGTTTGCATTTCATATTTCAATTCATTAATTCAATATCAATATCATTTCATCCATACATAAGTTTTCAAATCTTTATCCCCTATTATTTCCATTTTCAGCTTACCACCTGTTTTATTTTACATTACACGTCATTGTTATCCTTAGTTTTCTCTAAGCTGATATATAATAAACAATCTAAAAAGAATAAAAATATAGATAAAACCAATATATTTAGGATCCACATGGTATTTTCCATTCCCCTACTTTAATCATAATAGAATATTCTCATTGTACTATTCTAATATCCATTAAATAATCAACTGTATATATAGCCAACTGTATATATCCCCTCCAATAAATCACTAAAATAACTTCTTAATATCTCTCATTTTATCTTCACTTTACTTATAATCGTTAATAATCATATCTTTTTTAAAATTTATTTCCATTCCCTTTAATTCACTTCCATTCCCCCAAAACGGGGTTCATAACAACACATTTTATATATAGTTAATATTCATATATGTAATTACTCATTCTTAAAAATATTTCCCTACAAGTTTTAAATTAAACACCAATATATGCTCCACGTGGTATCCCCCTTATAAAATCCCTAACCCTTATCTCTAATTTTTTTGGCTTTATTGTTTATTTTAATTTTAGCCAACTTTCCCTTTTCTAAATTTCCCTGGTCTTCCTTCTTTCCTTCTAACATTTCACCCATCTTCTCTCCCCCCCTTTCCTGTTCTTTTTTTTTGAAGTTTCTTCTTGTATAATTTTTTCTTCTTTTGTTTGATCCTGAGAGCATTTCCTCTTTTATTTGTTAAGTCTGTCATCAATATCATAGTTTTAATTCCTTTAGTGTGTTTTGACAAAGTCTCTTGTTCTCCATGTCTGTCTAAGCCTCTTTCTTCTTCCTTTAACTCTGCCTCACTGGAATTTCTTTGTTCTGTGACCATCGCCATTATTTTCTTTTCCAGTATTTCCAATAATTCCCTTCTTTCTTTGAACATTCCTTTTACCATTTGTAACTCCAACTTAAAGTCTTTGCTTATTTCTTCCATGGTTATAATAAATTGTTAATATTCAAAGTCTTTTGTTGCAATCCTTGCCAAAAGTCTCCTTTTATCTTTATTTCTTTTGTTAATCCTTCTGTCTCTTTGTCACAATCAACACCCAACAGTCCCAGGAAGTTGCATCTATATCCTCTTGGTAGAATTTTTCCCCTTTCTCCCAGATTTCCGGGGTTCTTATTATTTTATTTGTCTTTTATTCCATAACAATTAGAAGTCCAGTAAATTTACTTTGGTCTTTGCAGACATCCTGTCTGTTGCTTTTCTCTCTCTGCTCCTTGGGCCCCCATCTCAGGAATTTCTCCTTGTGACTTCTTCTAAAATAGTGTTTGTTTTCTTCAGAAATCAAACAGGCTTTAAGGGCTTCCATTTGTAAGTCCTGTTCTGGTTTGCAATCAAAAATGGCTGAAACAATGTCCCACATTTCATCAAGACTGTTTAACACCAACAGCACCTTCTGAGATTCAGGAAACTTCATTCCACACTGTTCCAACTCAATAAATAAAGTCTGCAAGTGCAGCAAATGCTTCTCCATACTCTCTTGTGGTAGCAACCAGGCTCTGTATAATTGTTTTGATAATTGCACAATATTGCATGCTGATGCACTCACATGCACACTTCTCAATTTCAGCCAAACCTCCTTTGCAGTTTTTAAATCAGCTACATTCAAGAATTGTTCATCTTCTAAACTTAAGATGATGTAGGCCAGTGCCTTATCATGCTGCCTTTGATTTGCTGCTGCTAATGGTGCCTGGTGTGGATTAATAACAATATCCCAGAGCTCCTTAGCCTTCATGAAGCATTCCATTTTTGGAGCCCAAATAATAAAATTCTTCTGTCCCAATTGAGGCAGAGAGCTCTCCTTGAAATCAACAGCCATCCTGCAAGCCTTCTCAGCCTTGTTCTCTTTTCCTTATAACACAGGCTGTCCTTCAGCTTAATTGCAGTTCAGTTTTATTGTGTGCTTGGTGTGCTCTGGCCCATAACCTGTCAGAGTTTGCTGCAATCCAACCAGCACACAAGTAAATAATTCAGCAAGATTCATTTATAGAAGAAACTTCTTTATATACAATAATATAAAGTATGATGCATGTATACAACACCCATGCAGAAGCCAGAACCAGAACTCAGAATCCAGAAATCATAATCACAGAAGCAAAGATTGCAAGGACAAACCAACTCTTACATATATAAAGATCAGTCAAGCAATTTATAATCGGCGTTTAAAAGTGAGATTGGTCTATAATTGTTGATATATCTGGCATCCACATCCTCCTTCGGAATTAACGCAATCAACGCCTCCCTCCATGAGTCTGGCATTTTGGCAGCCAAAAGTACTTCGTTAAATACTTCCAGCATCAGAGGCCCTACTAAATCTATTGTGGCTTTATACAATTCTACTGGAATCCCATCTGGACCAGGGGATTTATTATTACATTGATTTTCCATTGCAGATTTTAACTCAGACCATGTAATATCCTTATTTAGTAATTCTTTGTCTCCTTCCCCTATTGTTTTATCATTCGTATTCTCCAGATAAGTTCTTATTTTATCCTCATTGATTTCTTCTTTTTTATATAATCTTTGAAAATAGTTTAATATAATATCCTTTTTCTTCTCAATCTCATGTTGTGGGATGCCTTTCTCGTCTATTAATTGGTGTATCAATCTCTTTTCTTTTTCTTTTTTAAGTTTATAAGATAGCCATCTTCCTGGTTTATTGGCGTGTTCAAAATAATTTTGTTTGGACCTTCTCAAGCTAACTTCTATTTTATCTTGTTCAATTAAATTCAGCTTATGTTTGGCTAGTATTAACTGATTTTGTAGTCCTTGGATCTTAGGGGTTTTTTGTAATTGTATTTCTAAGTCTTGGATTTGTTGTTGTAACAAGTTTTGTTGGGCATAAATTCTCTTGTTTCTCATAGCATTATAGGAAATTGTTGTGCCTCTTATAATTGCTTTCATAGTATCCCAAATGTTCTGTTTTGAAGTTGTTTCATTATTATTATCTTTTAGAAAATAGTTTAGCTCCTCTTTCAGTTTATTAATATACTCTTCTTCATTTACAATTTGGTTATTTAGTGTCCATCTTTTTTTTATTCGTCTCCTATCTCTCCAAATTAGCTGTATTGGGTTATGATCAGCCCATTCATTCGGTAGGATTTTGATTTCTTTTATTTCATTAGCCAAGTCCAAATCCATCCAAGCCATATCTATTCTGGTCCAAGTCTTATGTGGGTTAGAATAGTATGTAAATTGTTTTCCTTCAAGATTCCGTTCCCTCCATAGATCTTTTAAATTTAGCTCTCTCAACATTTCCTTACATGCCGCAGAAAGTTCCCTTTTCCCTTTCTTGTTTTTCCCCATATTACTATGGTCTTTCTGGTAGTCTGCAATGGAGTTAAAATCGCCAATCAAGCAAATGTTTCTTTTTTCAAAGCCTACTATTTTTTGGTGAAGGTGTTTAAAAAATTTCCCCTGGTCATCATTTGGGGCATAGATTGCTACAAGTAAAAATGTGATGTGGTTTATCCAAACTTGTATAACCAGAGTTCTTCCTTCGGGATCCGACCAGATTAGTTCTGCCTTTACATCTTGTTTTACATAAATTGCAATTCCTTTTTTCTTGTGTTGGTCGGCC